ATTAGCCATGAAAGCAACCACTTCATAATTTTCTAGAGTTTTCTTTGCCTTCACAGACCTTTCATCATCATTGTCACTCCATGTGATTTGGTATGCTATCTTCTCCTTTTTCTTCACCGTTAGACATTCAGATTTAATGTGATCAACTCTTCCACATCCATAGCAGGTAGGCTCTTGAACTGATTTAGACTTAGCAGATACAGTAAACTTCTTCTTAAGTCCACCATCGAATTTTTCTTTAGGATTGCTGTAATTTGATGGTTTTTGCTCAGTATATTTCCATTGTGAGCTTGATGTATTCACACTTTGATAGCCACCTTGATTCTGAAACTGTCCATACTTCATCTTGGCTGCACGATTCTCACTGATCATCCTCGAAAGTTTTCGACTCAGAAATGCGATTTCCTCATCGGATTCGATCAGCTCCATGTTTCCACACTTAAGGCCATACTTTTTAGAGTTTCATCTTCAAGATAATTCATTTCATAGCTTACCAACGTACCATATAATTCATCCAAAGTCATACCTTTCAATTTCGGAGGTTCATCAAGCATAATCACTTTTGGCCTGAAATTTTTTGTGAGACTTTTAAGCATCTTTCTCACCAGCCTCTTTTCTTTAAAGTGCATTCCCAAAGCTTCAGTCTGGTTGACAATATCTATGAAACAATCGTAGTATTCGGAAATTCTTTCATCTTCATTCATCTTTATCCCTTCGAACAATGTCTCCACATGTTCCAGTTTTGATTCTTGGACTTGGACAGATCCTTCGAAGGCATTTTTCAGAATGTCCCAAGCTTCCTTAGCAACCTTGCAATTGGATATCAGCTTTGCTTGAGTTTCATCAACAGTGTTGAAGATCGAAAAGATAGCCTTCGAGTTTGCTATTCCAGGAGTTTTTTCATTCAACGTCCATTCTCTCTTCGATTTCTTCACAAGAATGGTAACACTATCTTCATCTTGGATGGTTTTCATGGGATGAGACCATGCAAACTCAACAGCATCAACAACATCTTTACCTTGAGACATCAAAAAGGTTTTTATTTTGTTCTTCCAAATTTGATAATTTGTTCCATCGACCAATGGAGGTTTTGGTGTTGAACGTCCTTCCTTGCTCATGTCTACAACTGTGAACAAATCTACTCAACGATTTAGAGAACACTGCTCTGATACCAAATATTGGGAAGTGATGTATCGAACAAATCTCATTCGAACATCAACAAAGGGCCATCTCCCGAAGAGTGGTCAGTTCATAATTAAAACAACCCATTGACAACAAATAAAATGCAGAATTCAAAATAACAAATGAGACAAGGTATCTGTTGACCTAGTTCGATTATCAAACCAATCTACATTCGGGGGATACCAATCTAGAAGAGATTCCACTAATCAATATTGATTATATAATAATAACAATCACAACTCCTTCAATCCCAAATTCCTATCATGGTTTACCTTGAAAAACACCTCCATAGGTTTACGTCGTCATAAACGCGTACTGACAACGACTATATAGCCGAGCTACTAAGAGTTTGATCATTCTCTCTGGTTGGAACTCTTTTAACTCCGGTCACCATCGAACTCTCCAGTGAATTTTTGTGTAAAAAACTCATTCAAATTGAGGAGAATCAATATGGATAGATGATGAGAGCTTCACTTAATTTTTCTCTTTCTAAAACATGCTCTCAAACTCACTCGTTACTGATCTTCAACCCTATCCGTTGAGTAAACCACTCACATTCCTGAAATAAAATATTCCACGTTAATTTTCCTTTGCACCAAAATGAAAAGAATGGGTTTCTTTGGTTTGACATTTCCTCAAATATACATTTTGTTTTTTTGGAAAGTCTTTACTACAAAAATTAAAACACTATTTGTCCATATACCAAAATAAGTTATGTGAATTTCCATTCACATATATAAATAAAATAAGTAAATAAATATATTGTAGCATATATTAGATTTACAGTTATTATAAAATTTCTTTATATTTAGACAATTAAAAATGACAAAATTAATAACTCCCAAATGGACGGAGAGAGGAAAACACCAAACAAAGATTTATCTTCTTTTTTTACAATGATATTTAATTTCATACGGTTTTATTATCATTATTTCAAAAGTTGGGTTTGTTTCGTAGGGTTTATTTGCTTTGCATTTTTTTTTAGTTGTTTTCACTATTCAATCTTTAATTGTTTTTTTTTTTTTACTATTATCTTTTCACGCTAAATATTATATTTAATAACTATGTTATATAAAAAGTAAATTCCAAAAGTCAAATATACTATTTTTTTTTTTCTTTTCAAATATAAAAAATAACAAAAATGTTTTTTCAATAATACTTCAAAATTCACTATTGTGAACAATAAAAACTTCAAAATTTTCTAAGCATTAAATTATTAAGAGTACATGCAATATATGTACAATATGAATGCATCTAATTAAATTCAATAATAACGTGTGTTTAATGCGGTCACAGTGAATAATTTTGAATTATGAAAATCTGAATCATAAACATAAATTATTAATTGAGTGATTGTGTAATTGGTGCAATATATATATTATAAGAGAACTTAATAGGGTTCTTGTTTACTAGACCGAATTTTATAATTTAATATAATCCTGAAAATACATTATAGTATTACACATTATCAGACATCACATAATATAATTACAAAGATATTATTTATATTAATATTGTTAGATAATATTAAATAATCGACTCACCTAAAAATTTAAATTGATAAAAATATATATAATTTATTTATTTATATTTTACGAGAGTCAGCCAACAAATATATTATAAATACAATATATAAACTAATAATACATAATATAGTCTCATATAATAAATACTACTATTTATTTAAGCACATAATAAAGTATCAACCAATACAATTACAACTATGAACAAACAGCTTACTTCATCCGTCCCAATACAATAGTCATGTTTACCATTTTTATTCATCTCAAAACAATAGTCTTATTTCCATAAATAATCATATCACCGTAAAACTACTCATACTTTTTCCTTTTTATTACACAATTGTCACTACTTTTTACATTAATATAATACACTCACAAGGGCAAAAAAATCTTTTATCCACCTTTTCATCAACTACCAATATAATATCAATATTCCTTAAATCTCACGCCCAACTCAATTAAAACTATATTTATGAAATAGAAGAGTATAATATAATAATATATAACACATAATTTATATGTTACTCTAATGTAACCGGATCAACATGGGATCCTTTCCCTCTACTTTGATATACTACTTTCGTCTCAATTCAACTTAATGTATCTAATTTAATTAATGTAATTTACTCCCTCCATCCATTAGTAAGATTCATATTTGACTTTTACATGCGAATTAAAGTAAATTAGTATTTAATAGATATTGAGTATAATAAAGTAATACTTTCTCTGCCCCAATAAAATTGTCTTGTTTTTTCATTTTCGTCCGTCCCAAAATAATTGTTTTGTTTCCTTATTTAGTAATCGTGGTCCCCATTTTATAAAAAATTATTCATACTTTTCCAAACTACCTCTAATTATTACTGTAACTTACTTTTTAAAATCATTCAAAAAGTAAGGGCATTTTATTCTTTTTCATTCTATTTTATACTCACTTTCAATTAAATACTATTATTCTTTAATTTCCGTGTTCACTCTCAACAATACATCTTTTATGAGATGAAGGGAGCATAATGTTCATTTTAGCTTTGAAATATAATACGAAAAGTAAAATATAAGAATATTTTGGTATTTAGTTGAAAGTTATTTTTTTAAAAAAATAGAAATGAAAAGTTTTGATTTGAACTGAACAAATATGAAGTTTACTAGTGGACGGATGAAATATATAAATACCAATATATTTTTTACTTTTACAAAAATATTTATTTTTTTTGTACTTGTAAAAATAAAAGTATCATATCATCTTACACACTTCTACTAAGTAATAAAATATTATTATTTTTCGATCTACTATAGAAAAACAAATATATATACTTTTAGTCGTGAAAGTATATTCCCTCCATCCCTTAACAATCTATCTATTTTTCCATTTTGGTTCGTTCCATAACAAAGTATCAATTTCATTTTTTTAGTAATTGTACTATCTACTTAACATTATAAATACCCTTTCAATTTACGATATATTACACAAATATAATTGTCTTTATATCATACAATACTAATAAGGGCAGTTTGGTCTTTTTACTTTCATTTATACTACATCTCAATATAATATTAATATTTCTAAAACTCCGTGCAAAAAAATAAGTGGATAGATAGATATGAGATGGAGGGAGTATAATTTTAAACTTTTTAATAAGTAATTATCATAATTTTTTCTAAAAAAATTCTCCCTCCGTCCCATAGAAAGAGTAACATTTGCTTTTTGTACGTAGATTTTTTAATATTAGTATTATATTGAGTTGTAGTTAAAAAGACAAAAATATTCTTATTAGTACGGTGTAATATAAATGTGGTGGCATTTGTGTAATATATTGTAAGTTCGAATGATATTTATTATGTTAAGTATGTAGAATAATTATTAATTAAAAAATAATACTTTTATTTTGGAACAGACGAAGATCAAAAATGAAACTTCTATTGTGGGACGGAGATGGTACATTATTTTTTTCTAATAATACGTGGCTAAATACAAATTCCAACCAAATATAATTGCGTTGTGATTCACAAATAAAATTGGGCCTACATAAATAGGCCATTAAACTTTCCAAATCCCATAGTAAGGCCCAATGAGGGCCCAAATATCCCTTTTGTGCAGTGCTGAGATGAAAACGACGCTTCTTCACTCTTATCAGTCTCCAACAGTGCTTCAATTTTCCACAGCAATGGTGGTTGTTTACACATTTCAACACTGTGCGAAGAAGCTACTATGAGTAGATGACTTTATGCGTGCATTATCTGCGGCGGAACTGTCGTATCATCATCGCGTGGTATGAATGAAAAAGGTTTGAGAATCCTGGCTTATCCGTTTCCACTTTATATCCGCTGCTTCTTTTTCTTTTTTATGCTTTTGCTGCATTTGTGGATGTCTTGTTTTATTGATTCGGCGATCTGTTGAGCTGACTGCGTGAGTTGCTGGATGCGGTTTGGCGAAATGTGTTGTTGACTTGAGATCTTCAGATTTGGTGTATGAATGCTGGATTCCACATTTCAAACCTTGTTAATTTATCCATTATTGATTGCTTCTTCTTCTTCTTTGGATTTCATCAGTTCTCACCTCTCCTTGTTTATTTAATTCTGTAGAAATCAAACTGTGGATGTTTGCGGTAGATCTAATGGAATTGCAGATTCATGAATTTTGATTTGATCTTTAAACTAAGAGAACTGCAGCAGAGAAACTGTAAAAGAGCAATTTTAGCTTCTTTCCTAACTGAACAATTTTTCCAAATTAGTAAATTCTTCATTAACTGATTATATATATTGGTTAATTTTCCTTTCTATTCGTACATCTGATAGTGTTGTATTCCATTCCATCACTAAGGATTACTGTCAAGAGCAGAACTCTAACGAAACAACAATTTTCAGGAGATTAAGATTCACAAAAGGAAGAGCTAAGATGTCGACTGAAAGAGGCGCACACACGCACTGGTGCTCCCATTGCAACGAACCGGTGATTCTCCACCGGCGAAATGCAGTTTGTCCGAACTGCAACGGAGGATTCATATACGCCCTCGACAATACAACAATCGCAGCAGATCAAGGAGGAGATCAGAGACCTCATTTCACAGAATCCATCTCAAACTTCCTCCGGCACCAAATGGCTGCCACAGGCCGGATATCCTCTCGGCAGATATCTCAGCAGCACGGTAGTTCGTGGAACTCATTTCTCGTTTTCAGTGGCGACATGCCCGACCAGATGCCAGGCAGTGGCGGCCTAGAAGAGTTCCTCAACGAGACGTTAGGATTTAGGCGTGAAAACGGAGGGGATTATTTCATCGGGCCAGGAGTGGAAGAGTTTTTCGAACATGTCACGCGTAGCGATCCCCGTGCCCCGCCCCCTGCATCAAGATCCTCCATTGATGCTTTGCCAGTGATCAAGGTTTCAAAGAAACAAGTTGGCGGTGATTCAATGTGTGCTATCTGTAAAGAAAGATTCGAGTTGGGGCTAAAGGTGATAAAGCTTCCGTGCAAACATTTGTATCACTCGGACTGCATCGTGCCGTGGCTGGAACAGCACAGTTCCTGCCCGGTTTGTCGCCAGCAACTGAACGCCGGCCACAAGACAATCAAAAACACCAACAATCAGAGAAACCATGGGAGGAGAAAATGGCGATTCTCGTGGCCCTTTGGCTCGACGAAATCAACAGAGAGCAGTTCTCCAGTTTCATGAAAAGAATGATACACTGCGTCGATGTCCTAGTTTATCATGTAGAGAAAAATAAGTAACGATCCCTTTAAATGCTGCTTACCTTAAACCTGAAATCGATAAATCTCGACTGGCTGGTGCTTTGATTCATCTGTTATAGGTCATAAGAATGAGGATAATAGGTGAAAAATGCAACAAGTTAAGACATATATAGCTTAAAAGCATAACGGGTGCTGTAGCCGTAGCGGTACACAAGATGCCGCAAAAACACATGGATGCGAATGATTCAAAATCATCTCAGTGCATTCATTCAAAGGAACATAACGAATCTATATAGTAGAGAGCTTTGGAGACATGTCTAGTTTGTGAGCTCCATGATGGCGGAGACGATGTCTCCATCTGCATCCTTTAGTGCTTTGACTGCCCTAGGTCGAGAAACCCCGGCTTGGGTCATCACCAGCTCAATGTCCTTGGGCTCGACACCAGTCTCATCCACGTCTTCGTCATCAGGAGGTGCTGTTGCAGGTTCTGCCTTTGGTGCGAGGTTGCTCACATTAGGAGCCTTGAACTGCTCCGCAGCTTGGGTCTGCAATTGCGAGCTTAGATCCTCAATCTTTGCCTCGCCGAAGATCACGTACGTATCCGAATTTGGGCTCTTGAACACGTCTGGCTTTGAGATGACGAACAGGATCTGGAACAAGAGGGATTTGGTTAATTAAAATGCATGTGAGTTACTTCTATAAACTGTTAGAGGATGGAAACAACTTACGTTCTTGCTCTTCTTCACAGTGACACGGCTCACACCTGGGATGGGTTTCATTCCTAGCTTTAGCATTGCCTTGCGACTTTTCTTTTCACTTCTGCTTTGCTTTGACCTACCGCCAGAATCGTCCTGTCCTGAAATAGGGGACAGGGACAGACCAGATTTGAAATGCAGAAATTTTTAAATGCATTTGTGCCCAGAGCATTGAACTGTAAAATGAGGCAGTCTAGAGCAAAAATTATAATTTGAACAAATGTAATACCTTCAACTTCATCGTCATCTCCTTCATCATCATCGTCATCGTCGTCATCATCTTCTATCACTGGTTCATCATTCTGCAAGCAATAACTGAATCAATGAACAAACACCTGATGTAATAATGCAGCACTCTACTACGAATGTGCCTGCCTGCTAATCCATGTATAAACACCATTCTTCCAAGTCTAAAGTATTGCCCCAACCTCCACAGAACTGTAGATACTCATGTCTTACAACTAATAGCAATACATGAAAGCCTATGTTTGATTCACAACTTACTTTAATGCTCTCAAATTTAATAGCCCACTGCCTATACAAATACTTTTAATTTCCGCGCCTTTTACTAAGATACTACAAAATTAAATTCTACTCACTAAACAGAAAATTCATGCTTTCTTTTCAAAAATAATATACGTAACTGTTAATTTCCACACCAGATTACGAAGAAACTATAAAAATCCAATTCTACTCACACTTACAGAAAGTTCATGCTCGCCTTTTGAGAGTGGTATATCTTAATTTTTAACTCAGCTCACTTAGCATTTAAGGTTGCAAATGATTGCAAAGTCAACAAGCTATAGAACCAGGGAGAGTATGCCTAGATTCTCTTCTGAAATATGTCTGTCAATACTTGAAAATTCCTTAAAGAGATCACTAGTATGGTTGGAGAATGGCTGTCTTAATGAATATATTGAGAATGCCTATTAGTTATCAATTTCAAAACATATTCACGAGCTTCCCTTGCTGCCAGAAAGCAACTCATACCTTTGCACAGAAGAGCTGCGCAGTGACTTAATAATGATGATAATGTAAAAAGCTAAAATGGAGCATAGTGAAAGTGAGAATTAGAAAATCAAATAGAACTCTTTGTTTGTAGAGTACAAAAAACACACGCAGAGACACACACATGTTAAACCTTTCAAGGTTTAACACTTAGGGTGTGTTCTTTTATGAGATTTTCCCGGATTTTCACTATTCACCAGATTTTTATCCCCCAAAAACATCAATTCAAATACTTAATTTTTCATTCTGTATATTATACTAAAAATCAATTTTACATTCAAAACATCACATCAATACCTATTTATAATCGAATACTTATTTTTCGTTTTTTATATTATGCTAAAAATCAATTTTACATTCAAAATATCACATCAATACCTATTTATATCACATTATACTACTTTTCCAATTCAAAATTTTTATTATTCAAATCTCAACAAAATTCAAACCCCCAAACAAACACACGCTTAATGTAATATGACCAGTGGGTGAAAGGTTAATGAAATTTAGGGTCCAAAACAGATGCTCTACTACATCATAGGAATTTAGCGACTTTCATAAGAACATAGTATTTAATAGGAAAAATATTTTATTTCAACAAGTGCATACCATACTTTGTCAGGATTCTTAGAGGAAATGGTTGTGCCAAAGACATACAGGACCGGAAACAGTTATTACGTCCCAATGAAATAACAAAAACGTCATTACAGGTATTACAGTAATACTCATTCAAGAACAACTATTAGTTCATTACTATGAGCTCATTTTTATTTCACACGCACAATTTCGAAGTGGTGAAACAAAACATTCCGACATATCCTGCTTCCCAATTATCAAACTTGAATACATTTATTTAAGTAGTAACAGACAAGTCCCTCAAAAATGCCAAATATCCACTAGGGTGTGTTTGGATACTTTAGATTTGAAAATTTTAGAATGAAAGATGGATTATTGGATACGATGTTTTGAATGGGAGACAAACAACCATTTCTAGCATAGAAATGAAAAACAAAAAAACTCCCAGTAATCCAACTTCACTCCTTTAATCCATAAATCGTAGAAATATTTATCAGATGCGTCTAGCATTCAAATCCAGAACCAACAACTTATAGATCGAGCACAGTTGAGGATCAAAAGAAGCTAAAAAAACACGCATCCACTAAAGTTTCACCCGAAACTTCATTCGTAACTTAAATCAAACTCGCAATACAAAATTAATATACATAAATAAAATAACAAGAAGTAACCAAAGATAATACCCCAAAATAACGTAATTTAAATGAAACACAGCTCGCGTTTCGATTGCAACAAGTTGAACACGACAGATAAACAGATCTTACATCAAGCTTCTGTTGTTCGAGATGAGCCGCCAACAACTCTTCCTGCGATTGAGTCATGCTTGATTCCTGGAGATGAAAGGAGAATAAGATACGGAGAGCTGCTGCAGAGACGAGCGAGTTGACAAAACCCTAGAAGAAGAGTAAAAAGAAAGGGCGAGGGCGAACCGATTAGCAGGCGACGATTTTAAAGAGCGCTAGTTGCCGTAAAAGCGGGTTGCTGTTCGAAACACGATTTCTTTGTCTCTGTCCTTCCTTTGTCATTTTAAAGAGCGCTAGTTACCGTAAAAGCGGGCCGCTGTTCGAATTACGATTTCTCTGTCTTTAGTTTATCTCTTTCAAGACTATCTTTTGCCCATAATTCCATTTTTGGAGGATTTTTTTTAAGATATTCATCTCCAATAATATCTTACATATTATTATTTTATTTTTTTCATATTACAATAATTCATCTTTAATCACAATTTTTATTTTTCAAATCAATAAATATTTTACTTATATTTTATTTTATATATATTATCTTTTTTTTATATAGTTTTTTTTTAATTTATAAATAACATTAAATATTTTATTATTTTTATATATTTAATTTATAAAAATATTTTAAATATTATAACAATAATTAAATTTATAGAACATATATTTTGGATTCGGTCAAATCAATAATTAACATTTTAGCAACAGTTATATTCTTAATTGTTTTTTAGATATATTTTAAGATATATAAATAATATTTTATATATCTTCCATTTCAATCCGAATCAATTATTTGGGATTTTCGAATAAATAAAAATAATAATATTTTATTGATTAATAGGAGTGTTATATCATTTTGATATTTTATTGATATTTTTGATATTTTTGTCTTTGATATTTTATGTATAAATTGGTTATATACATTAACATATTTATAATTTTATAAAAATTAAATTGAATTTTGGTATTAATATATAATTACTTTTAATATAATAATAATAATAATAATAATAATAATAATAATATCTTTGGTATGATAACGGATAAAAATGACAAAAAAAATATTTTCAATTGAAACAAAAAGAGGATATTTTTATATAATGACTTTCAAATTATTTTTTAAAAATTCTATAATTTTTCAATTTGTAGCTTTTTTCCATAATTTTGTAATGTATATAATTTACTTTAATATTAAATAATGTGGTATTCAAAATATTAAGATTTACGGTACTATGTTTGAAATTTTCATTAGTGATTATATATTTACCAGAGGGGTGCCGCGCTATGCACGGGCATGATTATAAATTTTATTAAATTATTAAATTAATTATTATTATTAAAATCTTTTTTCTTTCCATTTAAATTATACATCATTTTTATTTTGGTCTCTTCTATTTAATTTATCTTTATTTTAAAAAAATATAATTATATATTTAAAATAATTTTAAATTTTTAATTAAATTATTTAATTATTTTAATTTTAAATTATAATTATTTTTTACTAATATATTTTTTAATTACTTACTAATTATTAAGATGAACAAATTAGTTGAGATAAAAAGAGTAAAAATTAATAACTTTTTATCATAAAATATAAATTTTAATAATAATAATAAATATTGATATATATATATATGATAGATTCCACATATATAAAATTATGTTTATTTATTTTTATTTTTTTTGCGGGTATATATATAAGAAAATCTTAAATAGACAAATATATTAAGAAGAAGAATAAAAAAATAATAAACTATAAATCAATTGATTCAAAAATAATATTCAAAATTCAAATAAATAATTTGTATATATATTACTCTCTCCGTCTCATATCTATATATTCATTTGTTTTTTGCACGGAGTTTTAGAAATATTAGTATTATATTAAGATAAAGTAGAAATAAAGGTAAAAGGATTAAATTAACCTATTAGTATTGTATGATATAAAGGTAATGACATTTGTATAATATATTGTAAATTAGAAGGGTATTTGTAATGTTAGGTAGACTGTATAATTAGTAAAAAAGAAAATGAATAGTTTGTTATGTGACGGACCAAAATAGAAAAATAGATATATTGTTAAAAGACGGTGGGAGTATTCCTTTGCAATTAAATTATAAAAATAAAAATAAATTATTTATATTTGTAAGTTAATAACATATAGTAGTAATCTATCTAAATTTGATTGCATATACATTTTAATTTTTTTTACAATTTATATTTACAATAAAAAAAAATAGTTTGACAATAATGCTTTTATTTTTCGTACATTTTTAATTAAATGATAGAAATAAGTAACAAAATGTCATAATTATAGAGTATTTGTTTATTTTATTTTCAACAATCTATTTTTATTGTTCGTTAAGAATAACGCATACTCTTCTTGTTGGTTTAAAAGCTAAGACTTTTATAATTGATAACATTCCAATACAAAATATCAAATTCTTTTACTAAGGGGGTGTATTGAATTGGGATTTTAATGGATTTATTTAGATTTTAAAAAGTGTATGGATTTATGTGGATTTATAAAATCGACAGAGACTATGTTGAGTTTGATGGATTTTAGTAATTGATTTAGATGGATTTCTACGGACTTGATTGAATTCTTTACGGATTTATATGGATTTTGTAGGATTGTAAAATAATTTTTTTGTGAATATATATTAAATAATATATAAGTATTAATAAATAATATATACGTATTTACTTTTTATGTAAAACGATTATATTAAAATAAATAAATAAATAATTTACGATTTTTTAAAAAAAATAAATATAAATTAACGGCTCAACAAAAAATATATATATTTAAATATCTATTTCATCGTTATCGTTATGATAATATAGTGTATTCGATAATTGAAAAGAAAATATCGACAGTAATACATATTTATTGTGATAATAATATTTTTCAAAATTATATTTATAATATAAAAATATATATTTAAAAAAAATTTATAATAATTTGCTAATATATTTTAGTTTTAAATTATTATTTTTATTAAAAATTATAATAATAGTAATAAATATTATCGTATTATTGATCACATATACAACAACAACAACAACAACAATAATAATAATAATAATAATTTTAAGAATCCTTAAAATTTGTGATAGTCAAGAGAGATTCTTTTCTATATAAAATTTTCACAAAAATCCATTAAAATCCATAGACTTTAAAAGTCTATGGATCGTTGAATATCTCAAAATTTTAAAAAGACTTTTAAAAGTCTACGTTGAATACCTCAAGATTTTAAAAGACTTTTAAAAGTCTTGATTGAATACACCTTTTGAAAGTCCAACAAAATCCTACAAAATCTATATTTAATACACCCGCTAAGTGTAACTTTATTACATATCACAAATATCATAAAATTTATTTTTATTTACATCAATACTTTAAGGGTGTGTTTGTTTGGGGGTTTGGATTTTGAGTTGAGATTTTAATAGTAAAATTTTGAATTTGAATAGTTGTATGATGTGATATAAATAGATGTTGATTTGATGTTTTGAATGTAAAATTGATTTTTAGTATAATATAAAAAATGAATAATAGATGTTTGATTTGATGTTTTTGGAAGGAAAAAATAGAATGAATAGTGGATTTAAAATCTAATCCCCCAAACAATTGTAACAATTTCGATAAAAAAAAATATGGTGGCAAAATAATATTGTTGATGTATTTTTTCAACAAACAAAAAGTAAAGTTCAAAGATATGGAAAATATCTTTAAATTTGATTAATTAGCGTCTGAGATTAGGAATCTCTAAACATTGTATGGTATATAAGAAAATGAACTGGAAATAAAATGCTGAAAATTTAAAGTGGTGATCCCTGAATCTGACTTTGCTTTGTTGAAGTTGATTGAAGATGTCTTCTCCAGAAAAATTCAAATCCTTAAATATTCATTGAAGAAAACGTTTGGAACCGTCGCCTGGTCAGTTATAGCAACCGCCGTCAACCGCCCAAAAGAAACATTTTGAAACGTCGTCTGGTCAGTTACAGTGACCGTCTCGCCAACTACATAACCCAACCGACTAATCCAGCGACTAACTGGTCGCTGGACCAAAAGACTCCTTGGCCGCCCCCACAAAGCGACCAAACTACTGTTCACTTAAGTGGGCATTCAATTACCAAACCTTACTTCGTCCGACCTCCGTAGCAGCCGACTTGCAAACTTTTCGACCTATGGACCATCCGACCCACTAACCAACCGACCTGACTATCCGACCGCAGACCTTCCGACCTGCCTATCCAATCGAGGACCTACCGACCTGCCTATCCGACCGCAGACCTTCCGACCTGCCTATCTGACCGAGGACCTACCGACCTACCTATCCGACCGCAAACCTTCCGACCTGCCGATCTGACCGAGGACCTACCGACCTGCCTATCCGACCGAGGACCTACCGACCTGACTATCCGACCGCAGACCTTCCGATATGCCGATCCAACCGAGGACCAATCGACTAGACCAACCGACCTAGGACCAACCGACCTGACCAACCGACCTCAGACCTTCCGACCTGCCGATCCGACCGAGGACCAACCGACTAGACCAACCGACCTAGGACCAACCGACCTGACCAACCGACCTGAGCGCAAATATTTCTTCTTTTCCACCTGACTTCGTGTCTAACTTCCTTTAAGATCCTGCTATCCTTATTTTTATTATTATTATTATTATTATTTGTGCGTAACAATAAGCCTCCTCCTCAAGACTCCTAAGCGTCACTTTCAGTGATGTTTTAGGAGGTTGTAGGCCGTCATCCGAGGCCACATCAGCCTCAGATCCGACCTCCTTCTCTCGAGGCTACGTTGGTCCCGACCTCCATTCATCGTAGACTGGCGGTGGCCTGCACGTTGGTCGACATTGCACTACCATGTCTTCAACACCTCCCCCCTGACCGAAGCCGCGATCATTCTCTTTAAAAAATGATTCTAACCTTCCTGCCTTGGATGCTAAACTAGCCAGATCTCGAACATCGTGGGCTGTCAAAGCCTCCCGAATATTTGTGTGCATTTTCCTGACCACCAAAGTAGTCACGTTGCTTTCTTCAATGATTGTCAGGCAACGTCCCTTCATTAATCGCATCCGTTCTATGAACTGGGAGGCGGTCTCCTCCGGCATCTGCTCGATCTCACAAAGGTCTGTGAGTGAGACTGCTGGAAGAGGAATAAAGAACCTTGT